AATTGTTTTTAGTACTTTTTCCCACCATTCTCCATTAAACTGTTTATTATATATTCGTTGTTCATCATGGTACAACGGTGTAAATTCAAAAACACAATGATTAAGTATGTCCTTATTAGTTAATAATTCCTTAATACTGTCAAAAATCAGATGGTAATTTAAATAGTATGTTTCTTCTTCATATTCCATTATTGGTATTTTCTTAAAAGAAATGTATGGAACTATAATTTTATCTAAAAGTTGCTTCCCTTGTTGAATTGAAGTAGGCAAGTTCATGTCATCACGTGATACTTTGTTTAAAAAATGCAGTATGTCATCGCCACAAGTATGTTATACAAAATGCAACAAAACGAATGCCTGCTATGAAGCCTATTATTGCTGAAAAATTTCTTGCTCATATTCAAGTAAGATTTTTATTTATACATAATTGACTTTTTTAATATATTGATAATTAACATTAAAAAAATTAATATTAAAATCGATACGATAAATATGACAGCAATACCTGATAATGTGTTTAAATATATTATACATATTAGAAATTACTTTACTAGATACTCAGTTGCAGAACCTGCAACATCAAAATCTGCAGAAGAAGCAGCTAGTTTTCTTTTAAAATTCTGTTTAATATTTGGGCTACCATTAATTCTACGTTCAGATAATAGTGGTAAATTTGTTGGTAATGTAGTAACTAGAATTATAAAACTTTGGCCATCAGTTAAAATTGTTCATAGAAGGCCTCAATATTCTCAATATCAAGGTTCTGTTGAAAAGGGTAATGATATTCTTCAAACAAAACTTGAATCATGGATGGAAGAAACCAAACGAAATGATTGGATTGTTGGATTGCCATTTATACTTTGTAATTATATATAATAAACTTTAAATTAATTTATATTATTATTATAAATTTTTAATTTAAAAATTATTATTGCAGGGGCAATGAATAACCAAATATGCAATACAACAAAATCAACACTATACGAACTTGTATTCGGACAACAATCTCAAGCAAATTTACAAATAATTTCAATGCTTTATTAGCAAAATATTATTCATGAAGAAGATATTCCATTAGAAAATTAATTAATATTATGCAATGAAGATCGTATGTAATAATAGTAATATGTAATAAATTTTTTATTTATTTTTTAATAACTTATTTATTTTTATATACTATGTATATTTAATAGATGAAATAATTACAATTGAGGATAGCGATACTGACCTTGAATCTAATAGCAATGAAAATGAAATGGCTATATTACGTAATAATAGTATAATTGGCAAAGAAGTTATTACATTACAAAATTCTTGGAACAAAAAAGAAAAATAGCAAAATAATGAAGTAAATATGCTTTTAGTTATTTATTATAATATATTAAAAAATAATTTAACTGATTTTTTTATTTATTATTGTTATTATATAGTATTCATTATATCGATACAATTCAATAGATTTAGAAAGTGATGATTATGATTATGATAAATTTTCATCTCAAGAAAATGATAAATTATATGGGGATTTGTTTCTTGCTAATAGTTTTATTGAAAATTTATCTCAAGAAAGTTCTAATCAAGCAAGTAGTTCTTATAAATTAATTGAAGATACGGACCATGAAGTCTTATGTCAGTTGATAGTTAATCTCATACAAATATTAGTAACTACAAGCAATTACGTAATTTAGCAGTAAAAAAAAATCAGCAAATAATTCGTAATATAATGAAAAAGCAGTATAATACTAAACATACCTTAACTTTAAATTCAGGTAATTATATATATATAATTATTAAAAATATGAAATATTATAAAACTAAATATAATATAATTTTTAATCTAGATGATTTTGTAAAAATTCAGGTCCCAAATATTGACAAGTTAAAAATGAATAGATGTTTAGTACCCTGCAAAGTTATTCAAAAAAAACCTAATCATGATCTTTATCAAGTTGGATATAAATTTGGAATCTTAGATTCATGGTATCTAGCAAATAAATTAGAATTACTAGGCACAGATGAATATCCAGCACTTGATGTTATTCTACTAGGCAATTTTATCTCTCTAAGAAATGCATCTGCATAGCAAAATTTGATACACCCTATACGAAGTATACAAGATACTCAAGATAATTTAAAGAGGTCTAAAAAAAATGACAATTGTTATTGCAGTAAAACAAACTGCAAAACTAAAAGCTGCTCATACCACAAAAACAACACACTTTGTACTAGATGCTGTGGTTGTGTATTGAGAGATGAATGCAGCAATTATTAATTGTAGTACATAGTGTTTAATGTATAATATATACTGTATATGTTTTCAACTATTAGAAAAAGCTGTATTAATTGAAAAAAGATATTTTCATGAAACATATTAATGCGTAATTAATTTTTTTTAATTATTTTTTATTGTACTTTTTTTAATTTTAAATATTTTTCAAACATATATATTTTTATACCGATACTAATTATTATTAGACATATGTTAAATTGCAATTTTAAATTAACATATGTTATTTTGAAAGTAATATGAATTGTGAAATGACATATAACATATATAGATTAGTATCTGTGTTCAACATTATTTTACAATTTAGGTCAGTTTTGAATTGATCTAGATCATTTTTAAATTTTCACTGATTTAGGAATAAATTGAGTCAATTCATAATGCAGCACTATGAAGCTTAAGGATCTCACCATTTGCCACTGGGGTGTGACCAATCTTTGCATGACAAATAAGCACCTACTAAATATATTTATAGTTGGTACTTATTTGTCACACAATAATTATTCACAACCACCACCACCAAAATCAGTTATGTAATCACTTTTTAAATTTAAATTCACGCACAAGAATAATAAAATCACAAAATAATCGATAGTTTTTTTATATTTATTTCAAAATATATTCAATTTAGTATATAATGCATTTTCATCCAAATTCAAATTTTATTTAATACATATTTAAAGCTTCAAATTACTTTCACTCTAAGTTTTCGGAAGCTCTTTTGCTCATTCAAAATCTTTAATGTCATCTACCATTTTTTGAATAGGTATTAAGATCGATTCAATACTTCAATGCCATTTTTTTGTTTAGGAGGATTATTAGATTTTTTAATACATAAAGTGCCTAAAACATAAAATTAATAAAAATATTTAAACATGGAATATAATGAAAATTTTTTTTATACCCACAAAGAGTTTTTTTGTATTTCTTAAATTTCAGATTCATATTCACTATCAGTACTTGATTTCTTATTATTTATATTTTGGTTTTTTGAATTTACCAGAATGAACATTGCGTAATTGATTAAGGTTGATATTCAATTATTTTCCCATAAAGTTTCTTTAGCTTCTGTAACAAGAATCCTATTGCATCTAAATTAATATAATTTTAGATTTTGAAAATTTTTATTTATAACTATCTCAAAATCCATATACATTGCTTTTCCTTCAACATCTATAAGTTTCATAAACTATATTCGGATCTTATACTATTTTCTTTTGAAATTTTGATCTTCATGTTTTTGTTTTTTTACTTTCATTATATGGATTGTATACTCAAAACATAATTTATTATTTAGAAATATTTTAATATTCAAGAAAATAAAATTTTTATTAAATTGTTATTATGCTTACATATATTGATCAAATGTCACAATTATCATATTAATTATTAATTTTAATATTGGCAATAAATGTAAGCTTCATTATACATAACTAATTTTGGTGGCGATAATAGGTGGCTCTTGGTTACACTCCAGTAGCAAGTGGAAGGGTTTGTCAAAATTTAATTAGAATTAGATCTTAGTATTATTACTTTGTTACACTACAAATATATAAAAATTAGAACTCAGAATTATTAATTTATTATACTGCAAATATATTATGTATATATGACATTTAATCAATGCAAAAAAATAAAAAAAATAAATCCTTATTTTCATTAATTTATTATACTACAAATGTATTATGTATGTTAGTTAATTAATGCAAAAAAGTAAAGGAAAAAAAATAAATAAAACTTTCCTATTTTCATTATTAATTTTTAAAAATAAAACAATACAACTTTCTGTTATATGAAACCTTTGATCAAATATTAAAAACTTTTATTAGTCAAAAAAAAACAATTGGAATTAAATATTGGGTAATTCGTAATTTCTTTACAGAAACCTTCAATTTTTGCCATTTATGATTATTATATGATAGTTATATAACTATTATATGATAAAAATATGATAAAAATATTTTTAATCTGTTAAGTTACTATTAACAAT